TGTTCCGTTGTGGTAACAGTAGCAACAGAATAAAGCCTAAAATCATTTTTGTAACAGTTTCTGAGAAAAATTGGTGCTTTACTTTTTTTGTTTGGAGAGGTCTTTGCCTGATATGATGCCGCAATATCATTTCCAAAGTGAGATGACACTTAGACCTGAACTAAGACAAATAAAGGGAGCAAATATTTGAAAGACAGAGTTGATCAAGCAGACAGAAACACGGAACTAAAAAAAGTGATCCCGAAGACCATAACCATATTATTCGGCTGTCGAAAAGCTCAGCTCTCCATTTCTGTTTATTAAATCTATGACAACTTTTTCTCAAAACCGTATTTTGTAAACTTTTCGCAGATCTTTCAGTGATTATATTAATATTTTATATCATCTTTCTTTAGATCTTTCAATATTTATAAATTTTGTGTGTGTCTGTGTGGGAGAGAGAGATAGATAGAGAGAGAGAGAGAGAGAGAGAGAGTCATTTTACAGCATAAGTGACATTTTGACGTCGGAAAAACTTTACAATGTAGTGATGAGTAAATTCATCGTGATCGATTGTGGTTTGATAGTCACGGCCAAGCTGAAACTTGACCAGTTCCCTCCACATATATCGGTTAAAAGGCAGTTATTCATTCTTGGGTAGCATGTCTTCACCAGTTAGATATGATGGATTTCATCCCTCTCCAGGTCAAACTAGAGCAGACGTCTTCTAACTTGGAGGGTCGCCTTGGTCATGAACACCTAGCCATTGATTCCATAGGCAGAAACCCTTCCGTCTCGGTTGTTTTCAGCCCAGAAAAGCCCTGTTCAATGATGCCATATCATCACTGCAGTGGTTGAGTATATTGCGATTCACGCCAGTCTGCTCGATTGTATAAGATGGCCATTTAGCCTTACAAGAACGTTGATTCATCTTTTGACAAGACCTCTTTTTATCCTATTGGGTGTTTAGCCATTCTTCTCACCATAAAAGTAGAGGAACTGTAGCCACTGATGACCCAAACATGTGGCAGGTAGTACTGAGTTGCCTGGTAGCGTGTAGCGAGAGAGAGAAAGAGAGAGAGAAAGGAAGAGACCCTCATTAAAAATGTATTGTGAATCATTGTCTGGCATAATACGATAATAAACACCAGTGAAATAAACATTTTGAGAACGAAAATGTTCATGTTTCAGTATTTAATAGCAAAAGTATATGCGTTTTCTTATTATTCGGCGATGGATTTATTGATGAAAGTTTGCCTTCACCTATGTGTGTATGCACGTGTGTACAAATAAAATGAAAGAAGAATAGTTCGTGTTTTTAGTCGTCTTTGCAAAAAAAAGTCCTTATTTCTCGAAGAATGAAGATAGAATTTAACATTTTAAAGGCTTCTGGGCAATCTGTTGTAACCTTTTACCAAGAATATATAATACTTAAAAACTGATTTTATTGAGAAAACAGCATAGTATCGAATATACATATAATTTTGACATAGGAATCGACACTGTATGGTGATAGCCAGCTTCACGCTTCACTGCGCTCATCAAACCAAATCTGAACAAGTCTAAAGATTTCACTGAAGCGTTAAATTAACAGGTACCATGGGGCTGATTTTGATATACATTATTTTTCTTCTTCGTTTACTTGACTTCTTCATCTTCTTTTTCTTCTTCTGCTTTGTCTACTTTTTCATCTGTTTTCCTCTTCTTTTTCTTTGCATCTTTTTTTCAGTTTTTTCATCCTTTTCTTCTTCTTCTTAGCAAGTCTGAAGATTTCCCTGAAATGTTAAACTAACAGTCACCATAAAGCTGATTCTTATACACACACACACACACACACACACATATATATATATATATATATATATATATATATATATATATATATATATATATGCGCGCGCGTGTGTGTGTAGTGAGTTTAATATCTGGTTACGGCAGTGGTGAGCAAAAAACTTTGAAAGTTGAGTTAAAGGGAGATAAATGAGATATTCGGAAGAGGCATGACACGTGGAACTAAAACTGGACGAAATAAAGTGTTCCAATCACCTGAAGAACGCCGGAGCGTATAACGGCCGAAACTTCGTGAACATTGCAATAAATATGAGGACATCACTCCGAACAATGTAAATAATGTAAATAATTAGAATACCTCATCTCAGAAATATATGTGTCTGTGTGAGAGAGAGAGAGAGAGAAAGGAAGAGGGTCTCATGGAAATGCATTGTAATCATAAAAAAAAACTTGACCATTGCCGCAATCATCAGGGTGTGCCTCAAATTTACCTTTCTTAGTGCAATGGGAAGGGGTTGGCTAAGGGATGTCTTTTACATGAGAGTTTAGTTTCCTTACTAGAAAAGAATTTATTTAAACCTGGATAAGTTATAGAACTGTATATATCGTCGTAAATTGATATATAAATTATATAAGCAATTCTTCTGTCTGACCATATGATAATGTGGGGAGGTGTTCATGCGTTCATAATCAAGATATGGAAGCACATAAGGAAAATAAAACACGGAATTTAATTTCTCGATTAATCTTGTTCAATATGATTATATGTTGATGTAGTTTAATCTTTAGGGATTTTTATGATTACTGCAAGGAACGACATATGCTTGAATGGACTTTTTCCATGTGGTCGAGCGGTGCCACTGGTCCAGAATCACATTTTCGACATCTACTTCAGGTTCCGTCAGCATTGTGGGGTTCAGAACGGCGAGCGAATGGCTTGATGAAAGATTCGGTGCAAGGGATATCCATCTCTCGCTTCACGGCGCGTGTACGCCGAACCGGTTTGAATTCAGAGTTTTCCTACTTCCTAGACGCATATGTAAGAGATATTGATCCAGTCGTGTTTTGAAATCTAACCTGCTACTTCCCGCTACATGGGCAATGAACATCTTTATTATTTATGTAAAGAGTCAGTATCATTTCCTTACGTCGAAGCGACCAAGTATTTAGCCAGGCACTTAATCTATGACACTTATTTTTAAGTGCACCCTAAGTCCCTCAAATGTCAATACAGACCACGTGACTGAAAGAGAGAACATTGGTTTTACGACAAAGCCAAACAAAGATGATTTACTATTTTAGTGATAAATGATATGGTTGAGTGCTTTATTTGTTCGCTTTTCCTTTCATTTTAGATACATTCATTTGTTTTTTCTTATTTATTTGTTGTTTATTTTTCTTCAAAGAAAGATTATTTCTTCTTTATTCGATTTCTTTTCTTTATTTTCTTTCTCGTCTCCATTTTGCTATTTTCATCTTTTTTTTTTACTCATCGCTTTTTTCTTCTTCGCTTGCTTGTTAGCTTTTTCCTCCTATTTCTTCTTTTTCTACCTCTATTTCTTCTTTTCTACTTCAGCTTCTTCTTCTTCTGCTACTTCTTTATTTTCTTTTTCGTCTTCTTCCCTTTCTTCTTCTTCTTCCTCATCATCATATGCTACTTCTCCTCCTCCTCCTTCTTCTTTTTTCTGCTTCTTCTTCATCATCTTTTTTTTTTCTACCTTTCTGTTTTGTTAATTTTATGATTATTTTACTTTTTTTATATTTTCACGTAATATTTGTTTTATTTGATAGTTTATTTTCAGTTTCACTCTTCACGACTTTGCTTCATGTTTTCGCCTTGTTTTAATTCCTACTTTCACTTTCACTTTTGAAATTTATTTCATATTTTTCTTTTTTTTTTCTTTTTTACTATTGCATTATTTCAAAATAATTCCCCAGTAAATTTTCATCGAATATTGGATTCAGGCATTTTGAATTTTGCAAGATTTGGAAAAATTTGGATTTTTTGACAATTTTTTTTCTTTTTTTTCTATTCGAACGGTGATTTCTTATGCTTGCTTTCCGTTTGAAAACAATTCCTTCAACCACGAATGTTTGTTTTTTTTTATCAATCCGACATCCTTGTAAATCTTATTGCTTTTTGCGTGTCTAAATATTGATAAGGTCTTTTGCGACTTTGAAAAAAACTCAATAGTATTCATTCGAAACTCAGAGGGTCGAGATCGAGGGACAGTAGCAATGGGTAGTTTTATACAACGGCCTCTTTAATATTTTTAAAAATGTTATTATTATTATTATTATTATTATTATCATTATTATTATTATTATCTGCATCCAGGAAACTTCAATAATCCTTTTAGAAAATTATTTCCTTTTTAATTTGTGTCTATCTCAGTCTGTCCCATATCTCTCTCTCTCTCTCTATATATATATATATATATATATATATATATATATATATATATATATATTCCTCATTCTGTTCATATTTCTCTCTGTATCGGTCCGTTCATATACATCTATCTCAGTCTAATCGTATTAGTCTGACTTCCTAACTTTCTATCTATCTATCTATCTATTTATCTATCTGTCTATCTACCGCAGTTTAATCGTAACTATCCATGTAGCTGATTAGTGTTCTATCTATCGATCTATATTTCTTTCTTTCTGTCTGTCTGCCCGCCCATCTATGCCCATCTATGCAGCGTCTCCAAATTTTATCTGTCTCTTAGTGATGTATTTCTCTTTTCAAAACTTTCTGTTTTGGGATATCATATGATTTACTTCTCTTCTTTATCTATGAAACATGGTTTCCTGGCCGGCTGACTCTATTCCGGACAGTACGAAATAATGCAGGTGATGAGGAACTTTATGATGTAAAGATTTATCAATAAAGAAAGTCATTATCTGAAATAAAATAAGTATCAGTGGAATAGCTTATAAAGGTTGTAGTGAAAGAGAAAGTGAAAGTGAAAGTAAAGTTTAGATGTTGAATTGTGTCAAAAGTTGTGGAATACACTGTGATGGGATAAAGTTATTTAATAAAAAATAAACATGCTAAGAAAGAAAGAAAGAAAGAAAGAAAGAAAGAAAGAAAGAAAGAAAGAATGTTGATATCAGAAGAGAAATGAAAGGAGAGAGAATTTAGAAAGATGAAAAAGAAAAAATTCCATAAAAAAGAAAAAGTAAAGGGGAAAAAAGAAAGAAGAAAAGAAACAAAGAAGAATCAC